TGCCTTCGGCTCCAGGTGGCGGAAAGCCACGAGAGTAATTTTCGGCTGCGTCACGGCTTCTGGGGATCTTTGTCTAACAAATCGTGGTCGTCTGCTCTGTCGCGGAAAACGTGGGTACTGTTCGTTTCGACCTGGCCGCAAACATGTTGTGCTCGAAGGAAAGAGTATGACCAGCCGTGCTGCGCAGTATCCTTTTCGTCTTGCATCGTTGCTTTGTCGTATGCTGACAAACCTTTGAGCTGCAATGTCAAACGAGTCTTACCGCCACGCTGTGAACTTCGACTTTGCGAATAGTATGGAAGTCTCGACAGCCATGCATGACTGATCTCTCATTGCCTGTGTGTGGCCCCACATGGTAACATAACTTACAACCAAAAACAAGGGCCTCATGAGCATAGTAGTGCGATGTGCACGATGTTGCTTTGAGAAGCCCTCTCGTTTTCTGTTGCCCCCCCCCAGGGGGCCTCCCTCTGCGGCTGCGCGGGCTCAAGCTGCCCACCCTCGGCCACCCTGGACCTCGTTAACATAGTGCACGTCTTGCGCCTGTGCTCTGTCAGAAGTCTCGACAGCCATGCATGAGTGATCTCTCATTACCTGTGTGTGTGTGTGTGTGGCCCCACATGGTAACATAACTTACCACCAAAAAGAAGGACCTCATGAGCACCGAAAAGGTTGAAACGCCCAACTCTGTCCAAAACCAATGGAAAATTATTGTTTGTTTGCCTCTTGGAGCCCTCTTGGGAATGCACTTGGAGTCCTCCTGGGGATCTTGGAGGCTTCTTGGGTCATCTTGGAGACGTCTCGGGCCGTCTGGAGGCCATCTTGGGCGTCGTGGAACAATATTCGGGCGTCTCGGACCTCTCTTGGACCGTGTTGGGGGCGTTCTTGGGGCCCTCTTGGGCCGTCCTGGAGGCCTCTGGGGCCGTCTTGGAGCCGTCTTGGGCCGTCTTGGGGCCCTCTTGGGGGCCTCTTGGGCCCTCTTGGGGCCATCTTGGAGGCCTCTTGAGCCGTTTAGGGGCGTCGGGGAACCGAAAAGGGTAAAACGCCCAAATCTGCCCCAAACCAACAGGAAAAAACACAGTTGTTTGCCTCTTGGGGCCCTCTTGGGAGTGCTCCTGGAGGCCTCTTGGGGCATCTTGAAGGCTTCTTGGGCCATTTTGGAGACGTCTTGGGCCGTCCGGAGGCCATCTAGGGCGTCGTGGAGCGATCTTCGGGCGTCTCGGACCTTTCTTGGACCGTGTTGGGGGCGTTCTTGGGGCCCTCTTGGGCCGTCCTGGAGGCCTCTGGGGCCGTCTTGGAGCCGTCTTGGGCCGTCTTGGGGCCCTCTTGGGGGCCTCTTCGGCCCTCTTGGGGCGATCTTGGAGGCCTCTTGAGCCGTTTGGGGGCGTCGGGGAGCCAAAAAGGTTGAAACGCCCAAATCTGTGCAAGACCTTAGAAAAAACATGTAGTTTTGCCTCTTGGGGCCCTCTTGGGAGTGCTCCTGGAGACCTCTTGGGGCATCTTGGAGGCTTGTTGGGTCATCTTGGAGACCTCTTGGGCCGTCTGGAGGCCGTCTTGGACGCCGTGGAGCGATCTTCGGGCGTCTCGGACCTCTCTTGGATTGTGCTGGGGGCCTCTTGGGGCCCTCTTGGGGCGATCCTGGAGGATCTTGGGGGAGTGTCCCGGGCGTGTCTCGGGCATGTCCGGGGCTCCTCTCGGGGTATTTTTGATCCACGGACCCCCAGGGGCTGCCCCGCGCGCGCGAGCCAGAAATACTGTTTACCAGTTACCGGAGATCTTAGCACGCCTCTGGCCCGTTGGGGCACGGCACCCCCCCCTCCGCCCCCCCCCGCCCACCGGCCAGCGCGCCCCTCCGCCCCGACTCTTTTATTTCGTCCGGCACACCCCTCCGCCCCGACCCCTCTACGTCGGCACGGCGCACCCCCTCCGCCCCCCCCCCCCCCGCCCGCCAGCTAGTGCGCCCCTCCCGCCCCGACCCTTTTAGCCAGTGCGCCCCTCCGCCCCGGCCCTTTTATTTCGGCGCGGAACACCCCTGCGCCCCGACCCCTGTATTTCGGCACGGCACGCCCTCTCCCCCCCCCCGCCCACCAGCCAGCGCGCCCCTCCGCCCCGACCCCGGTCGGGGCGGAGGGGCGCGCTGGCTGGTGGGTAGGGGGATGCGGAGGGGGTGTGCCGTGCCCAAATGAATGCGTCGGGGCAGAGGGGTGTGCCCTGCCGAAATAAAGGGCTCGGGGCGGAGGGGCGCGCTGGCCGCTGGGTGGAAGGGACGCGGAGGGGGGGGGGGGTGTCGTACCGAGCTAAAGGTGTCGAGGCGCCGTGCCGAGATAAAAGGAGTCGGGGCGGAGGGTGTTTGCCATGCCGAACTAAAGAGAGTCGGGGCGGAGGGGCGCGCGCGCTGGCTGGTGGAATGTGAGGGTGATGAGGGAGTGCCGTGCTGAAATAAAGTGGTCGGGTTCTAGTGGCTCTATGTCAAGAAAAAAAAAAGGGGGGTCGGGCGGAGGGTTGTGCGCGCCGAAATAAAAGGGGTCGGGGCGGAGGGGCGCGTTGGCTGGCGGGCGGGGCGGGGGGGCGGAGGGGTCCGTGTGCTGGCGAAATAAAGAAGTACGGGCGGAGGGGGGGTGCCGTGCCGGAAAAGGGGGTCGGGGCGGAGGCGGCGCATGGCTGGTTGGTGGTCCGGGGGGGTGTGGGCAGGAGGGGGGGGGGGGGCGGGGGGGGGGTAAGGGGTGCGCCGTGGCCGAAATAAAAGGAGTCGGGGCGAGGGTGTGCCGTTGCCGCAATTGGCCCCGACCCCTTTATTTCGGCACGGCACACCCCTCCGCCCCGACCCCTTGTATTTCCGCACGGCACACACACACACACACACACACACCACATCCCCCCCACCCCACCAACCAGCGCGCTCTCCGCCCCGACCCCATTTTTTTCCGGCACGCCCCCTTCCCTCCCCGGCAGGGAAGCCCACCACAGCCAGCGCGTGCCCCTCCGCCCCGACCCCTTCAGTTCGGCACGGCACCGCCACCCCCGCGCGCCCCCCCTCCGCCCGACCTTTTATTTCGGCAGGGCACACCCTCCGCCCCGACGCCTTCATTTCGGCACGGCACACCCCCTCCGCACCCCCCCCCCGGCCGCCAGCCAGCGCGCCCCTCCGCCTCGACCTCTTTATTTCGGCACGGCACACCCCTCCGCCCCGACCACTTTATTTCGGCACGGCACACCCCCCTCCGCACCCCCCCACCCACCAGCCAGCGCGCCCCCCCGCGCCGACCCCTTTCTTTCGGCACGCCCCCCTCCCGCATCCCCCCACTCACCAGCCAGCGCGCCGCCTCCGCCCCGACCCTTATATTTCGGCCCCCCCCCTCCCCGCGCGCCCCCTTTGCCCGGACACCTTTTATTTCGGCACGGTGCACCCCTCCGCCCCGACGCCTTCCTTTCGGCACGGCACGCCCCCTCCGCACCCCCCCCACCCACCAGCCAGCGCACCCTCCGCCCCGACCCTTTTGTTTCGGCACGACACACCCCTCCGCCCCGACGCCCCCCCGCGCCCCCAGTGCCCCAGCGGGGGCCCCGCTCACTGCACCCCTCCGCCACGAACGTTTTATTCCGCGTCGCAAACCACCCCCGCGTCCCCAGCGCCAGAGTGGGACCCCCGCGCCGTGGATCTCTGCCCCGAGCCCCCCCGCGTCCCCAGCGCTACAGCGGGAACCCCGCCCACTGCCCCCTCCGCCACGAACGGTTTATTCCGCGTCGCGACGCACACCACCTCCCCCACCTCCCTCCCCGCGTCCCCAGCGCCCGGGCCCCGCTCACTGCACCCCTCCGCCACGAACGCTTTATTCCGCGTCGCGACGCACACCACCTCCCCCCCCGGTCCCCAGCGCTCCTGTTGGAACCCCGCCCCGTGGCCCTCTGCCCCAAGCCCCGCCCAGTGCCCCCTCCGCCCCGACCAGTGTATTCCGCGTCGCGACGCACACCGCTTCCCCCCTCCTCTCCGCGCCCCCAGCGCTCCAGTGGGACCTCCGCCCCGTGCCCCCTCCGCTCCGAGCACTTTATTCCACGTCGCGACGCACACCACCTCCCCCCTCCCCACCTGGGATTTGGACCCCGTTGCTTGGCCCCGAGGGGCGATGTCTTGCCCCCTGCTCCCCCCTTTTCCACCTCCACCTCCTCCTCCTCCTCCTCCTCCTGCTTCTCCTCCTCCTCCTCTTCCTCCTCCTCCTGCTTCTCCTCCTCCTCCTCCTCCTCCTCCTCCTCCTCCTCCTCCTCCCTTTCCTTTTTTGTGCAAGAGCCATGGCACACGTGCCACTTGTTCAATGCCCTCGCCGTGCCCCCTTTCAGCGCAGTCAACGCGGATAGTAAAGATGAACGGCTTTCCAAGGTCCAATGTTAATTTTGCATCTTGCCCTTTTGGCACATCCTCGGCCACTTCTGCTGGTCGCGCTCCGCTCGAAAGGCGTTGACATGGCCTTCCAAGGCCTTCGCATCCTTACCGCGCATCCTTCTTTACGATGGTTACGTCATTCCGCCGACCCCCAGAAGAGGCGTGGAGTCCACGGTTGAGGCGTAGTGTTTTTTTGGTTTTCGGTGAGGATTCCTTTTGGGCGTATATTGAGAGCTCGTCGCCTCTTGGAGGCAGTTTTGAAGTGTGTTGGCGGCCGCCTTGGGGCCTCCTTTTGGTCTCTTGGGGGCCTCTTGGGGCTTATTGGGGGCCTCTTTTGGGTCGCTTGGGAGCAGTTTTCTTATATGATGCGATTTGACGATGCCCGGTTCGGGCGTCCAAACCAACGGACGAGCGCGCACGGTCGGCCCGAGGTATAAGATCGAGGTCGGTTCGGGAGGGCACCCTGGTGATATTCGTGTCTGTTGGATGGTCTTGTGCATCCTGGGAAGGGTACCCTCGGATGTTTTGTTTGTTTTGGCCGACGGAGGGTCTCATGTTCATGAAGGATGTTCTTCTGGCCTAGGTCCGGCCGTAGCCTTTTCTGTTCTGGTGTCCGCGGCCCGCGGCCCGCGCCCGCCGCTGCCCCGCGCGATGGGCGCGCCAGCCGAGCCGCAGCCGCCCGGGGTGCCCCGGCGGTCGATGCTCGGCGGCCGCAAGGGGGGGCGGGGGGGGGAGGCGATCGGCCCGGGGGAGAGCGCACGGCGTTCCGCCACGCGCTGAAGGGGGGGGGGCCACGCGCAGAGGGGGGGCAGTCACTGGGCCCCGAGGGCCAACCCGGGACGGAGGGCTACCGTCGGACCGAGGTATCAGATCGAGGTCGGTTCGGAGAGGGTGCCCTAAAGTTCATCGTGGTTGTTGGATGGTATTTGTGCATCCTGGGGGAGGGTACGCTCGAGTTGTCTCATGGTTCGGGGTGTTTGGGCTGACGGGGGGGTCCGTCCCAGGTCCGGCCGAACCTTCTCCGGGGCCGTGCGCTGCGGGAGCTACGTCCCCAGATCCCCGACGTCATGAATTTTATCGTGAAGTGGACCCCAGGGGGTCTGGACCCATTCCCCCGGATTGGTTCGGCATCCCGGGCTGTTTTTTGACGGTCCCGAGGACGTGAGGGACCCCAGAGGCCGAATGCAGCGGACAAGTTTTTTGCCAGGATTTTTTCATGACCCGAGGGGGTCCGGGCCGTCGGCTGCCTGGGGGGCTCGGCCCGGCTGCCCCCAGCGGAGGCGCGCGGCGCCCTCGTGGGCGCGCGCGTTGGGTGCGCCATGACGTCGGGGGTCTGGGGGCGGGGGTCGTGTTGACGCGGCGGCGCAGGCCGGGGCACTTTTTTGTACTCCTTCCCCCCCCCCCCCGCCCTCCTCGGGCGCGCGCCTGGACGGCCGACGGTCCAGACGGAGCCGAAGCGAAGTGGAAGCCGAAGGTTTGGAGTCTCGAAGATAGTTGCCCCAGTTCCCCCCGCTTTCTCCCCCACACTTTTTCACGATAGTCGTTATCTTACAGTTCCCTTCGAGTTCCTCCCGTGCCTGCCCACGGGCTGCCCCGCCCCTCTTTGCCTCCGCCGAGCAATCCCGCGGCGCCGGTGGCCGCAGGACCTGCCAGGCGGCGCCTTCTCCCGCGAGCACGCGGCCGCCAGCTCGCCATGCATCGCGGGAGGGCAGGAACGGGGACGGGACGGGACGGGACGGGCGCCGACACCCCTCCACGCGCATGCGGGGAGAGCCTGCAGCGTAGGACGGCGGTGGGGCCGTAGCCCCTCACAAGAGCACCTTGTCGATCCATCGCCGTCGAGGACCGTGCGCCGTGCGGGCGTCTCTGCGCAACCTGGGGGGGGGGCGCCACTCGCGCGGCAGAGGCAACGCTGGGGGGGAGGGTCGGAGGAGGCACAAGTGATTACCCATACCGCTACCCTTGCCTCGTGTTCCCCTTTTCGGGTCTCCTGGGAGGCCCTCGTCGCCACCGCTGTATTCGTCTCCAGGTTCTGATCAGACAGCACCCTGCGAGAGGCCCGCGGAGTAGCTGTAACGGTACACTTTGGTCTCCTCAGCAGAGGCAACGTTGCCTCCATTCATCGCCGACGGGGGCCGCGTGGCCCAACCCGCCCAGCAACGTGCGGTTTCGCTATGGGGGGCCTATCGCTGATCAATCGGCGGCGCATCATCGCTTCAAGGTCAATGTTCCCCTCCCGCCCTGAGGCGGTCTGCCCCTAACGTACCCCTTGAACGTGGCACGCGGCAGGCGTTGTGTGCCGTGTCGATGCAGCGGTGGCGGGCGTCGGCAGGCGCAGCACTCGGACGAGATGATTTGTTCAATCTGAGAGTTCTCTTCGATCTCGGCCTTTGGGGACCGTTGTTGGGCCCCAGGGCCGCGTCCATGAACAATGTTAGAGGCCAGCAGCATGTTACAACACGCACGCGGTCAGGATCCGCAGAACTCGGACATTCGTGCACGCAGGACCGCGGCGGGCGTACATGTACATGTGTCTTTGTCGCTCATGATCGATCCAGGAAGCTGCCCCCTGGGAAAGGGTGTGTCGGGACCTCTGGGGCCGCGGATCTAAAACACATCTTCGGAGGTATGGGGGGGGACCGGCTCAGGGCTCCAGGGGCGGAAGCATCGACCCCGAGTCGCCCACTCCTCGTATGTCGGGGCACTGGGTGCCCCATCCTGCCCTTGAGCGTGAGGGGGCTCCTCCGCCACAACATGACGTACACAGACACCCTCCAGTGGAATGTTCTTGAGCCTCGCGGGAGGGTGGCGATGTATCGATCTGTAGTGGGAGTCAGCGATTTTATATAATGCCACCCTCCCTGAAAGTACAAGCAAAACTTGTCGACGGATGTCCAAAGTGAAGGCCTTGCGGCCGGTGTCGCCGACCTTGAAGGCGGGACCTCCCCCGGGACCCCAGGATCCCCTCCCGCGACCTCGGGGCTGGGGCCACTGCTGGAGCCGGGGCCAGAGCCGGGAAAAGGGCTGGCCCCCCGTCAGTGTACGCAGTTTCGTGGCGTATTTACCCTTCCACTTGAGCCAGGGCACCCCCCCTCCTCCTTCGGCTCCCCCCGCCCCGGCGCGGGCGGGCGCGTCGAGGCGAAGCACCCCCCCAGTGGCGCCAGTGGTCGACCAGCGTCGAGCGATCCTGCGCGACCAGAAAGCAGCGACCGTTCAGAAGTGACAGGGAGAGGGCCTTCTCAGAAGGCGGCGTGGCTTCTCGCAACCCCCCTCCGGCCTTCTGGGAGGTTTTCTGCGTCTTCGGGGAAGGCTCAGAAAACTTCTCAGAAGGCCAGGGGACTCCCGAGCCTTCTGAGAAGGTCCGCCCCTTCTCACTTCCCCCCCGAGCTCTTCGCCGAAACGCGTAAGTCGCGGCGACACGAACCTGCCGTGCGCTTCGCAGAGGTCCTTGACATCTCGGCGCCGCAGTCTCGCCGCACTGGGGGCGTGTTGACCCGGCCTTGGGCCCGGAGCCCTCGCTGGTCGATCCGGCTCGAGAGACGCCGCAGAAAGCTGACGTGGTAATCGGTAAGTTTCGGGCGGGGCTGGGACGAGAATACACCCGGAGGGCCGGCAGGACGGAATGCTCTCAGAGCGTTCCGGAACGCTCTGAGAAGACCGCGGCGCCCGAGACATCCGCCAGAGCCGCCAGATCTCAGAGATTCTCTATCTTAGGCATCGATGGTCGGTTGTGGCTTTTTCAAGCTGCTGCATTGTTTTCGATACGTCGGATCTCTGGGGTCGCGCGGATATCCCGGGTCGGCGTTGGGCTCCCCTCCCCGCATCCTTGCTTCAGCGCACGGAGCGCGTCGCGGGGCAGGGGCGCCGCAAAGGGTGCGGGGAGAGGGTTCCAGCTCCGACCCATGGAGTCAGATCGGCGCGGACCTCCGGAGGTGCATGTCATTGGCGTCACCCGAGCATGCGAATATCACCTGTGCGTCGCCCCCAAGAGGGGCAACGCGCGAGCGCCAATGAATCCTGTAGTATATGCTCGGTGGCGGACGTTTCTGGCCATACCGTTGGGGTAACGACCAATTCTAATTTCGCTGTACTATATGATCTGGTCAGACGCACGCGTGCAAGGAGGACGCGTAGTACCAGTATGTCCTTCTGCGTCCCATGTCAATGCCGTTCCTTCTTTGCCCTCCTGACGTCATAGAGGGCCTCGTCGACGACTGGCCCGCCCACGCCGACGAAGGGCGGGCCTGGCGGGCAGGCCGCTGGGAGCGATTCGCCGCGCAGGGAGGGGATTTCATGACGCTCCACTGCGGGTTTGACCCGGCCGACAACCGCATGATGCACTTCGGGGACGACGACCCCAGTCGAAGAAGAACAATCGACATAAACATGTTTTCTCGGAGGTCCGCGCGGAATTTTTGGATCTGCGCTGGGCCTCCCTGGCGGCGCCTCTGGCGACGCCCCTGGTTCGCTTCGCGCGCCTGGGTTCAGCGCCGATCTGACAAATCCGCGCGGACCTCGGAGAAACTATGCTCATACAGCTTGTCGATCTTCTGCCCAGCGTGCTATACAACCCTGGGAGGCTGAAGATGCCCGCCTGGGCGTTCCTCGAGGTCGGGCAGCTCAGGAGGGATATCCTTCGGGAGCGCGCCAAGCTGCCCGCGGGGGAGCCGCTGCGGCTGGAGCGGCACCCGCGCCTGCGCGAGCGCCTGAACCGCGAGGTGGAGGTGCAGAACATTCGAAGAAAAACAAGCGGCATGCGCACGAACGTCTTGAGCTCCGCGCGGATTTCTTGGGTGGCGCTGGCCCCCCCCCCCAGGCGCCGTCCAGGCGCGGCTGTGTGTGTGTGTGTGTGTGTTGCCACCCCCCCAATCCTGGCGCGCGGAACGCGCCAGAGGCGTGGACCCAGCGCAGATCGAAGAAGTCCGCGCGGAGCCCCGACAGTCTGTGCAGTTCCTTGTTCTTCTCAACATGCCCTTCCTGTCCGTGGACTTGCAGGCCCCCTACCTGCACCACTTCGCGGCGCGGACTGTCCGACTCCGCGAGCTCGTGCCGCTGTCGTTCTACCTCTCCCACGACACCAGTGCGCTGCCCCGCGCGATGCAGGAGGACGTCTGGCCTCAGGGCCGCAAGTCGGAGGAGGAAGCGCGGCGTGAACATACACTTTCGGAGCTCCGCGCTGTTGTTTCCAGGCCAAGGTTCACTGCAGGAGTTTGCCTATCGCAGGTCGGCTCATGTGAGGCTCCTGGGCTGCCTGGCGACATTCTGATTCGCACAGCAGGGAGCGCGGCTAAATTGCTCATCGCCGATCTACGAGGAATATCAAACTGTCGGAGCTCAGCGCGGATTTCTTGCAGCGCGCCATGGAGGGGGGGGCCATCGCCGATCCAAGAAATCCGCGCACACCGTCGAAGGTTTGTGTTTGTGCCGCTTTTCCCTCGTCTAGAGAGCTGGCCCCAGAGTGGGGGGCTCCGCACTCCACACGCCTGTGGGCGACGAACGGCGCTCCGTGGCAGCAGCCGTACCCGCCCTGGAACGACGCGCAGGCGCCCACGCCCAGCGAGGACCAGTGGATCTACAGCTGCTTCCACTGCGACCGCATGGAGAACCTGCACAGCCTGCTGTCTGGCGAGAAGCAGGTGGTGCTGGTGCCGCCCGGGCGGAAGGATGTGCTCAAGGCTCACAGGAGCCAACGGCACCCATACTGCTACTCTAGCCTCGTTCTCGCCTTTCAGAGCCTCCTGGGAGGCTCTCGTCGCCACGGCCAGGTTCGCCTCAGAACCCTGGTCCGAACGCGCCCCAAGAGCGGTCCGGGGAGTAGCGGTATCGGTATGTTGTTGGCTTTCCCCTAGAAGGCCACGCGCCACTCGCGCCAGCTCCAGTGGCTCGTGGCGCCTGTCCCGACGCCGTCTGGCGGATCCTACCTCGGCGCAACCCACTTCGAGTCCCACCTCCAGAAGGAGTGCACCAGCGCCCAGAGCGCCGTGCACCCGCTGCGCACCGAGGCGGAGAATCGGCGCGCCTCCGGCGGGGCGTGGCCCGACGAGGTGGACTTCCCGGTCTGGGTCGGCTCGCTGCGCCCCGGCGACACGCTCTACATACCCGCGTACTGGTGGCACTGGGTCGCCACCGCCACCCCGCCGGCGCTGGGGCAGTTCGATGCCGGGGCTCTGGCGATGTCCGTCAACTTCTGGTGGTGGCCGCAGCACCGCGACGAGGAGATGGAGCGGTGGTGCTACCAGAACGAGGTCGAGAACCTGCAGAACGCGAGGGTCCCCGTGCCGCAGGACTGCCACCCCCTCCCCCGCGAGGCCCACGCGGAGATCTTCCGCCGCGAGACGCTGCAGATGCGGCTGCAGGCCAGCATTCCGCAGCCCTGGCCGCGCTTCCCCGAGGAGTACGAGGCCGTGGACTGAGACGGCGACGGCCCCGCCGAGGCCTCTCCGAGTAACGTTTCGACCGTGCGTGCGTGCTGGCATGCTGGGGCGCCGGCGCCATGCGCGCTGGCTTCTGGCGCGGGAGGCCCAGACGCCGAGCCGCCCAGCGTGGACGAGGGCGCCGCCGAGGGCCGGCGCAGGTCGAGAGGCCCGCGCGGCGAGGCAGAGCGGGGGGCTGCAGTGGACCGCCGCGCCGAAGCTCCCCAGCGGCGGGGCTCCGTCGGGCCTCTGTCGCGGCGAGGGCTGGGAGTGGACACGGGCTGGACGGTGTGGGCTGCGGCGGAGGAATCCAGGGAGGAAAAGACACCCCGACCCCGATAATTGCGTTTCCTGAGCGGTCTTTGGCGTTTACTGGTGAGCCCTGCCCTGTTCGATTCCTTCCTTTGGTGCGCTTGCTAAATGGCTTTGCTTGTCGGGGTGCTTATTATGAAGGTGGATTTGTTGCGTTCCCTAGGAAACCCGCGCGCCGGGGCTGCTTCTGACATGGGCGAAGAAGCCCTGTTCCGTCAGGCCTCTCGCGAGGCGAGGGCTGGGATCGGACACGGGCCGGGCAGCGCGAGCTGCGGTGGGCGAGCCCCGCCAAGTGCGTCGCGCGAGACGGCCCTCGGCGCTGCGTCTCTCCGAGGCAGAGCGAGCAGCAGCCTGACTATATGCACGAGGTGCTGGGAGGCCATCTCCCCAGTGGTGGCGGATATGGTTCCGCTGCGCCACCCGCCAGGGGTATGATTCTCGGCCGACGGGAGCTCTCGGCCTCTCCTGTATTATCCCCTCCCTCCTGCCTCCTCCTCGTCCCTCCGTCCCTGTGTCCTCATCTCCCTGCCCCTGTCCTAGTCCTCCTTCATTCTCCATCCCTCCCTCCCTCCCTCCTCTCTCTCTCTCTCTCTCTCCTTTCTCCCCCTGTTAGCGCTGTGCGCGAGCATGGATGTCCTCACTCTGGAGGAGCAGCAGCAGCAGCAGCAGCAGCAGCAGCAGCAGCAGCAGCAGCAGAAGCGGGACGAGCGCGGAGAAGGATCCAGAAGGACGACTGCGACGATGGGGACTGCGGCGGCGACGATAAAGAGGGGTGACGACGATGAGGGCGACTAGGGTGACGACGACGAGGACGATGGGTGGCGATGACGACGACGAGGACGACGACGGGCGACGACGAGGAGGACGACGACCAAGGACGACGGCGCTGGCCTGCCACGGGGGCGTGGCCCCCGCCAAGCCTGCGCGCGTCGCAGGATGGCGGCGTCGTGCCTGGCGACCTGAGCACCTCCGCCGAGGTGGGGCGGGAAAGAGCCTGGCGAGAAGGAGGAGGAGGAGGAGGAGGAGGAGGAGGAGGAGGACGGGACCCAGAACCCCTCGGGTCGTGAACAAATCGTGACGGGCGGTTTCTCGCTAATTTCGGCTTTGGGGGCCTTTGCTTGCCCTCGGGCCGTAAAGAACGGACTCGGGATGAACAGCTGGTCTCGGGGAATGGGTCCAGACCGCTCGGGGTCCACGTCACGAACAAAAATAGGACATCGAGGGTTTGGGGTGAAGGCTTCACAACTCTTTGACTCCCAAGACCAAAGGGCTGTTTGTTGTAAGGTCCCCTCGGACTAATCCCTGCAAGTTCGCTCCCGGCCCCGCCGTGCGAGACATCCTCGGAACAAGTGTCGGCTGGCGGGCCGGCTGGCGGGTTGGTCGGTTTGCCGGTTTGTCAAGTGGCGGGTTGGTTGGCCAGCCTGTCGGTTGGTTTGTTGGCTGTCCAGGTGGTTTGTTGGTTGGCCGGTTTGTCGGTTGACCAGTTGGTTGGTTTGTTGGTTGGTCTGTTGGCCAGTCGCGCGCCCGTCCGCCCTTGCGCCCGCTGGCCTGCTTTCCGCGCGCCCGCCCGCCGCCCGCCGGCCCGCCTGCTCGTGCGCATGCCTGCCCAGCGGGCCCAAGGCCAGGAGTCGAAGAGCAACAAATGGCATCAACAGAATTCTAGACGGTTCGCGTAATTAACCGCACCAGCCGCCGCGTTGAGCCCAGTTCCGCTCTGAGCCGGGAGCCATTCGCTTCGCTGTTTTCCCCTTTGCTTCGGCGCGGCCCGCCTTAGCTTGCACGGCGTTCGACTCGTCTTCGCGCGCCCGCGTACCAAAAAGTATCCTCACCAGCCTATCCAGGAACGCATGCCCAGGCGAGTTGTCCTGATCAGGAATGCAGAGGAGCAAGACGTGGAATGAAGGGCTTGGGAAGCCGTCATACCCCAAGGGGCGGAGGATGGAGGAGGAATCAGAGGAGGAGTCCGAGGATGATGACGATGATCACGATGAGGATGAAGATGGTGAAGATGATGATGACGGTGATGGTGATGATGCTGATGATGATGATGATGATGGTGATGATGATTGTGATGATGATGATGATGATGATTATGAAGAAGATGATGATGATGATGATGATGATGATGATGATGATGATGATGATGATGATGATGATGATGATGATGATTATGAAGATGATGATGATGATGATGATGATGATGATGATGATGATGATGATGATGATGATGATGATGATGATGATGATGGTGATGATGATGGATGATGATGATGATGGTGATGGTGATGTGATGATGATGATGATGATGATGATGATGATGATGATGATGATGATGATGATGATGATGATGATGATGATGATGATGGTGGAACGGGGCTCGAGGGGGGAGGGAGGAGGAATAGGCGGATGATAATAAAGGAACAGGAGGAAGGCGAGGAGAAAGGCCTGATGCCTTGTGGATGCCTCTCGGAGTCTCTTCGGATGTCTCTTGAGAGCTCCTTCGTCTTGGAGCGTTTTGGGGGCATATTGGCGGTCCTGGGGGGCTCGTGGAGTATCTTGGGTGCCTCGGGGGAGCCTCTTGGGGCCTCTTCATGGTCTCTTCCGTGGCTCACTTTCTGGTGCTGGCTCCAGCACCGTCTGTGTCGGCAGCACGCTGGCTGCCCGTCGCCCCCGTTCGATTGCACAGTCTCGAGCGGGGTGACGACTCAACCCCTGCGCTTTCGCGCTCTTCAGTAGAAAAAGAAAGAAAAACTCCTGGAGCACTCTTCGTGCCTCCTGGGCGCCCTTTTGAGGCACTCTTGGGAGCCGTGGGGGCCATTCTGGGCCGTCTTGGAGGAGATCGATCAAATGGAGGGGGGGGCACAGAAGGCCAACATGAGCCCCAGACTTGCGGGAAAACATTTAGTTGTGCTTTCTCGCCGAGGCATTCTTGGACGCTCCAATGGGTCGCGGGGCGCCCCGTTCGGGTCCAAGGGAGGGGGTAGGGGGAGGAGTCAGGCCCCCCCCCCCCGCCCGCAAGCCATCTCGCTCACTCCAACCCGCCGTCCCAACGCATAAGTAGAACCCGAGCCGCACCATGACCATCGGTCGTCTTTGGATGGGCAGCTACTAGGAACTGAAACGCGCCCCATGTGTACAACGTTGGGGCGAGGTGCGCCACGCGCGCCAGGCGCGCCAGGTGTGCCAGGCATCCCTGTGGCCAATGCGTGCCGGGCACACCTAGTGCGCCAGATGCGCCACTTGATCCACATGTGCCATGTGTGCCGCATGTTCCGGCCGCGCCATGTTCGCCATGTTCGGGGCGTGCACAGAGTGTGCCAGGCGCGCCTGCGCACGTGGCAGTACACATCGGGAAACATGTCGGCAACCACCACTATTGTCCAAAACCAGTGCGCAATCGCGGCGGGTGGCCATCAGTGTCGGGTTGGCTTGCGCACAGCAGGCAACATGGCATCCCGCCCGCCGCTCCAGTCAATTATTCACTGCGTGGAGTTCCCCCTTATGTGTATTTATAAGCATGGACCTGTTCGCCGTGAGTATCTAGGCGCAAGAGTTTTCGAACATGAGTGGGCTTCAGTATTGACGGTCTGGGAGTGACTCTAATTTTGAATGAGCTGGAGCGTAAATGAGTCTCAGTAGTACGAGCGCGTCTTTGCGCATGAGCCTGGGGCGGCCTGGGGCCTCCTAAGACCTCGTGGGGCTTCCTGGGGCCTCCTGGAGCCTATTGGGGCCTCTTGGGGCCTCCTGGGGCCTCTTGTGGCCTCCTGGAGCCTCCAGGAGCCTTCCAGGGAGGATTCGTGCCCCAGGAGAGGCCCAATTGATAGGAAAAGACGTACATAACGCACTTCGGATTGGAGCCGCAGGAGAACGACAATCTATAAGAACACACGTTAAACACCGAGGGCTCGTGCCCCAGGGGAGTACACATCTAGAGGAACATACGTAGAACACTTGGGATTGGATATGCAGGGGAAGGACAATCGATGGACACATACGTAAACCACAAGGATTCGTGCTCAAGGGGGGCCCAATCTATAGGAGCAGACGTACAACACATGGAATTGGAGCCACTCCTGTGGCCTTCTGATGCCTCCTGCTCCTGGAGCCTCTTGACTCTTGGGGCCTCCTGGTGCCTTCAGAACCTCCTGGTGCCTTTAGAACCTCCTGGTGCCTGCTGGCGCTTCCTGTGGCCTCCTGGGGCCTCCTGGGGCCTCCTGGAGCCTCCTGGAGCATCCTGGAGCATCCTGAGGCCTCCTGGAGCTTCCTGGGGCCTCCTGAAGCTTCTTGGGGCATCAAGTGGCATCTTGAGTCTTCCTGTGGCCTCCTGATGCCTCCTGGTACCTCCTGTTGCCTCCTGGGGCCTCCTGGAGCCTGCTGGAGCTTCCTGCGGCATCCTGGGGAGGATCCGTGCCCACGAGTCTGGCCACCAAAACAGGCGAGCCGATCGAGACATCCTCAACATCTGGCCCCACTTGGACGCGACAATGAACACCTCGTTCGAAACATCCTTCAACTCTGCTCCGAAAGCGGAGGATGTTGGGCCAGGAAACATGCACACCGCTCGAGACATCCCCGCCATCTTCGCGCGAATGGAGGAGTGCAATACCCCCTGGCGGTTCCCCCTTGGGGGTGCTGAAACCCGCGCCTCGCTCGAGGCATCCTCAGAATTTGCCCCATCATCATCATCATCATCATCATCATCATCATCATCATCATCATCATCATCATCATCATCATCATCATCATCATCATCATCATCATCATCATCATCATCAGCATCAGCATCAGCATCAGCATCAGCATCAGCATCAGCATCATCATCATCAGCATCATCATCATCATCATCATCATCATCATCATCATCTTCATCATCATGATCATCATCATCATCATCAGCATCATCGTCATCATCATCATCATCATCATCATCATCATCATCATCATCATCATCATCATATTCGTCTTCATCGTCATCTTCATCTTCGTCATCTTCATCTTCGTCATCGTCATCGTTATCGTCATCATGATCATCATCATCAGCAGTATCAGCATCAGCATCATCATCATCATCATCATCATCATCAGCATCATCATCATCAGCATCATCATTATCAGTCTGGGTGTGAGCAAATCTGAGTCTGAGGGAGTACGTAAGAAGAGACGAGGAAAGGAGAGGATGATAGGAAGAGGGGGAAACGGAGTAGGAGGCGTCTAACTAATTATTCATTGCGTGGAGCTCCCCAGATGTGCATGTATTTGCATGGACCTGTCCGCCGTGAGTGTCTAGGCGCAAGAGTTTTTGAATGCAAGCGGGCTTGAGTATGGACCTGTATGGAAGCGAATCTATTTGTGGATGAATTGGAGTGTGAATGAGTCTCAATAGTACGAGCGCGTCTCCGCTCATGAGCCTGGGGACTTCTGGGACCTCCTGAAGACTCCTGGTGCTTCCAGGGCCTCCCGGAG